GCGTGGTGGCGGGGGGGGGGGGGCGCAGGGGATACAACCAGCCCTGCTGTTCTGGGGAGGTTAGAAATAACTCCAGACAGGGCTTTGCGGGGTTCCAGGGCTGAGCCCCACCCCGTGACTAACTGACCACATGGTCAAGATTAAATCACCACTTCTCTGAGCCTCAAGTGACTTCGCTGCAAAAATGGGAATAAAAAGATACACCTCTCAAGGTTACTGTGAGAATTAAAGCAGGCCAAATAAATCATATGTGCAAAGCCCCTTGGAAACCATAAATGAGTTTTTGCTTGCAGTCGGCAACCATTTCCTTTTATTAGCGGGCCGAGAGCATCATACCTGCCCTTTCCCCTTCTACCGGGGAGGGGTGCAGCACACCTGCCTGAGGGAAGGCTGCAAGTGTCCCGGTGTACAGAGGCGGAGGGCACACATACTGCTGCGGGGCTCCGCCTCAGGAGGAAGGAAGCCCCCAAGGACCAGCTGTGCTCGGGGGACTGCATGGAACCTGGCGGCTGAGGGGGGAGCACAGCAGCCATTAGCCAGTTCCTGGGCCTGCCTGGAGGAAGACCCTACCACAGCGCCAGCCCAAGCCCGGCAGGTAGTAAGCGCTGGGAAGGAAGCCTAGTTTATTGCTTCAGTGACCTTCCGGCTAATGTTTCTGGATTAGGCCTCAGCTGCCATGTCAGAACGGACTTCTGTATTGTGTAGACATTTTCCAGAGGGACACTGAGCCTGGAGCAGATGGGCATTCTCTGACTCACCCACACAATTTTACATGTTTGGCTCCTACCTGGTTCATCTTATGTGGGATTGTATTGCTCACCACTCGAAGGTTCTAAAAAGTGAGGAAACCATCAGCTCCTTGGGCAGTTGTCCCACTGAGGGGGGTAAGACAATCTGGGTACAGAGAGAGCTGGGTAAGGGGTTCTGAATGCTGAAACACCTCGGCACTATCAAAGGACACTGTGATAGTGGGAATGGAGGACACTGGTTCTGGAGTCGAGCTGACAACCTGGCCTCTCAGCCCCTCACTCCACACAGAGAAGGCCGCTCATATGTGCTCACAGCCCCGTGAGTCTTGAGTTCTGACTCTGAACCTGATGTCGAGTAGGCCAAGAGACGACAAAGGGCCCTTTCACCTACCTTCCTGTAAGTACATGACTGCCTGGGAATAGTTCTGCAAGGCATGGTGGGTCCTCCCGAGGCTACTGTATGACACCGTCTTGGCCACCAGGTCATTCATCTGTGCAGCGATGCTCAAGTGCTGTTCCTGGTAGACCACAGCCCTCTCGAAAGTGCCCAGGGATTCGTACGTCAGGCCTAGGTTCCCGTAGGCTCGGCCCTGGCATGTGGGGTTGTTGGTTTCCTCTGCTATCTGCAGATCGAGCTGGTGGTACTGCAGGGCTGTGTCATACTCCCCCATCTGCTGGTAAACGCCCCCCAGGCCACAGGCCGCATCACTCTCCAGGGCTCGGTCCTTCATCTCTCTAGCAATGTTCAGCTGGCGTTCAAGGCAGGAAATGGCTTGTTCGTAATTCCCTAATTGGCTATGCAGGCTTCCCAGCTCTCCATAGGCTTGGGCTTTATTGAAGGCCTCCCCGAGCTCATGGGCGACCACGAGCCTCTTTTCAAAGCACACGAGGGCTTGCTGCAAGCTCCCCATTGCCCTGTGGGGATGTAGACAGAAAAGCAATGATATTATTTTGTGCAGGTGCAGACATGCTAAAGCCCCTGAGAAAATGAAAAGCATTCGTCACTGTCACTTACTATAGAAGCTCTTAACTCCTCTTCTAGCTAAAATCTATCATGTGCCCTTAGAGTGAGATGCAGAGGAATTTCATAATCTGGAAAGCAATTCAAAAGTCATCCCTTAGTGACCTTCCCAAGAGCTTGAGATTCAATGGGATATACACCCCAGAGGAAACATAAAATATATTAATAGGCACAATGATAGCAAGTGAACTGTTTGGTTCTTCAGGCCTCCCAATTTCCACTACCGCTTAGACTATGTTTTTGAAATCACTTTACAGTGGCTATAAATCTTTCACCCTGGGCTTCTCGGAGCACTCTGTGGGTGATGATTTAGTTTGACCCTTCCCCTTCCTCCACTCCAGGAGCCCTAATCCCCTGCCTGTCTGGTGAGACCATATATTCTGTAGACACAGACACTTTCTTGGGTTCCACACATTCAGGTGAAAAGCATCACCTTGGCCAACACTGTATCTTTTTGTGCTGCTAAAAGATGACACGGTAAGAGTGGGAAGAGCATGGATTCTGGCAGGAGACCAAACCAGTTGTGCGAGGTACATGAATTCCTCTCCCTGAGCCTCAGTTTCTGGTGATACTAAATCCCACAGCGCGGCAGATGATAACAGAGAGAGATACAAGACTGTTACGACTACCGAATAGGGTGTCTATACAAGGGACATGCGTGATGCACCCCCCACCTCAGGTAGCTTTTTCTAAAGTCAACACAGTGGGGTAACTAATTGGTGGGTATAGATGTCATATTGATAAACATATTCATACAATGAGGGAGGCATTCAGAAAAAGATCAGTTGGTTCATCACCATCCCCATCTCTATTAACTCTTTTATCTTCTTCATTATACTGGCATTAAAAAGAAAAAAAAAAAAAGGCGTTGCACTTGGAGCCAGACAGCCTTAGGTCTGACTCTCTGCTTTCCCTTTTAAACTGTAGTCTTAGGCACCCACCTAACCTCTCTGGGTTATCCCCATCCCCATCTCTATTAACTCTTTTATCTTCTTCATTATACTGGCATTAAAAAGAAAAAAAAAAAAAAGGCGTTGCACTTGGAGCCAGACAGCCTTAGGTCTGACTCTCTGCTTTCCCTTTTAAACTGTAGTCTTAGGCACCCACCTAACCTCTCTGGGTTTTAGTTCCTTCTCCTGTAACATAAAGGTAAGAATGCCACCTGCTTAATTCAAAGACTCACTGGAGGAACCGAATGAGACATGCATGAAAACGCTTTGTAGTTAATACACTGTCGTGCAGACAGGAAGTTGCCACTACTGTCACCACCGTTCTTTTTGCAGGTTCATCAACCACAGTTTGTCCTCTGCCGTTTTTACCTGTGTCCATTTCCTAGGCCCCGGTAAGCCTTGGCTTGGTCCTGCATGCGATTCAGACTCTGGGCAACAGATAAGTACTGTTCGTAGTATTTGATGGCTTCTTCGTAATCCCCCAGGGCCTCATAGCAATCCCCCAGGTTGCCGTAGGCCCGGCCTCTGTCGAGCACAGACTCATTTCCACTTAGCTGCTGCAGCATGGCCAGCTGCTGCTCAAAGTAGCCGATGGCTTCTTCCATCACATTCATGTTCATCTTTGTGATGCCCATGTTGCCATAGACCTGGGCTTCTAGGCTTGGATCCTTTAACTTCTGCCCAAGATCCAGCTGTTCTTCATAACACTTGAAAGCCATGGTGTATTTCCCAAGGGCCATGTAGACGGCAGCCAGGTGCCCGTGAGCTCTGCACTCCCCCGACACGTCGCTCAGCTCCTGGTAGACCTCCAGTTCCTGTGTGTGATAACCCACGGCTTTGTCGTACTTCTGGATCATCCGGTAGGCGGTGCCCAGGGCCGCATACGCACTGGCCTCCAGTCTTCTGTCCTTGACGTGGTGAGCGAGACCCAGCTGCTGCTCATAGAATTTTATTGCACCATTTATATCTTTTTTACAGATGAATATGTCACCCAAGTTCCCGAGGGCTCGAAATTTCGCCTGGGAATTGTTGAGGGACTGGGCTAGGGACAGTAGGTACTTCTGACACTCTTCAGCTTTGCTGAAATTCAGCAGAGCCTTGAATGCTAGGCCCAGGTTGCAGTAGGCTTTTGCCTGGCTCAATTTATCGTGAAGGTCTTTGGCCAGAGCCAGGTCCTGCTCATAGTACTTCACAGCCTCCTGGTAATTTCCGAGGCAGTAGTGGGCGTAGCCAAGGTTGTGGCAGACCTTCCCTTCCCCTTCCATGTCCTGGAGGTCAGGGGCAAGCCGGAGGTACTGTTCGTAATAGGGGGCAGCCTGCACATACTCTGCCCTTGAGCAGTGGAAGTTGCCCAGGTTGCTGAGGGCCCGGGCCTCGCTCTGGATGTCTCGGAGTTCCCGGGCAATGTTCAAGTGGTTCTGATAGTGCTGCAGGGCCCGGTCGTGGGCGCCAAGGGCCTGGTAGGCCACGGCCAGGTTCCCGTGCGTGGAGGCTTGGGAGGCACGGTCGTTCACTTCCATGGAGATCTGCAGCTCCTGCCGGTGGTACTTGACTGCCTGGTCATACATGCCCAGGGCATTATAGGCATTGCCCATATTCCCGTAGGCGCGGCCCTGGGCGGCATAGTCGCTGAGCTCCTGTGCAATGCACAGGTGCGTCTTGTGCAGCTTCAGCGCGGTGTCATAGTCGCCCTTCATCTGGTGTATGATCCCTGAGAAGAATAAAAGAACAAAGTTGGGAATACCAGACTGGCAACAGAGGGAGAAATGTGATTTGCAACTCAATTTATAGGAAAGTGCAAGTCAAGATGAATTAAAGAATTTAAAATAACAGAAGGTAGAATTAAATATTTATTAGTTCTCCAGAGGGAGGATAGCTTTCCTTTGAAGCAACAGAAAAAAAGAAAGGAAAAACACTGACAGATTTAATTACAAAATTAAGAATTTTTGTATTATAAATACATAGCTAAAATTGAAAGGCAAACACAACATTGGAAAATATATGAAATACACCTACATGTAAAAGTTCAAAAGCTGTTGTGTATAAAGATTTCATATGGTTTGATTTTTTTTTTTTTAAATCAAGACCACAATTTACTCAAATAGGCAAAGAACTGTGTCAGCAGACAACCCACATTCAAAGAAATACAAAGAGTAACCACGGGGGGAAATGCTAATTTCCTTTAATAATCAAAGAAATGCAAAATAAAGCAACCCTGAAGTATCATTTTACTTCTACTAAATTAGCAAAGAAAAACTTTAAACAACCCTCTATAATGATGAGGTTGCCCTGAAAAAGGTAAACTCACCAAAACGCAACAACCTGTGGACAAGCAACATGGTGAGGACCACAAACACGATTCTGCTCTGACCTGGCAATCTCATGCAGGGGAGGGAATCCTAAGGAAATCATTTGGCAAACACAAAAGCTCTGTGTACAACGATCTTTGCTGCAGCGTTATACATTAGTGGGAAATCAGAAACATCTTCAGTGCCAAACGCTGGGGGACTTTATAAGTACACGTTGCTATATCAACTCAATAGAGGTTTATGCAGTCATTAAAGAAGTAATTATGAAGTCTATGCAGAACAACAGGGAAAAAAAGTCCTTATAATCATGTGAACTGGAAAAAGCAGAAAACAATGCTGTATGCTCCCTGTGATGATAGCTAGTACGATAAACGTGAGCACATGGACAGACTTCAGGCAGGGGAGAGTGGCTACACAAAAATAAAAATAGTTGCCTTGGCCAGCCTGGTGGCACAGCAGGAAGGCAATGCTGGGAAGGACCTGAGTTTGCAACCCAAGGTCTCCCTGTGCTGGCCGAGTATGCACATGCTCACGAATCTGAACGGCTCAGACAAGGGGTGGATCATGGCAATGAAGACTGTTGGGAGTGCCCTCAGCCCTTCTTGCAAGAAATAAACGAACTACAAAGAAAGGAAGTTGCCTTTTTTAGGTGATGGGAGTTTAGTAATTTTTGTTCCAAAATTTCTTGAAATTCTGCTATAATTACTTTTAGAATCAACAACAACAGTGCTTCCAACAACCCTCAGAAGCTGTGCTATAGCTGCTAAGCTACTGTTTTGATCATTCAAAATGAGATATTTCACTGTGCTAGCCCCGTAGCACAATGGTTTAGTGTAGTCCATTGGGAACAGGATCCCACAGGGCTGACTGTGGTATGAATCCTGGCCCTGGTGGCTTGAAAACATACATGTATACGTATCCCAGAAAAAACTGCGACATGACCATACCCAGTTAGGGATACTTTCTCTCTTTCTGTCTCGTTCTCTGGCAAGCTCACAATGCCCTCTGGCAACTGACATCCAAAGTGAGGACCAAATGGAATAATGTACATGCAAGTGCACTGTAAGCCATAAAGCAAAATTCAAATAGTTACTAAAATTATGGGGAGGTTTCAAGAAGTTTATGGAAAAATAAAAATACAGGTTTATTTTGATGCCAAAAAATCTGAAATCCATGCATAGTTTTTTCATGATACACATTTTCTATGAGCACATACACATGCCTGGCATATTTCCTCAGCCACCAAGTATGGGACTCAAACTACATAGTCAGGCATTGGGATCCAGCTGCCTTACCCATCAGACCACAGGCTGGCTCCATTTTCCACGAACTTTTGGAAGACCACTCCCACGCCCCCCCCCCATGCTTCCAGGAAAGAAAATTCCTAAGGTGTGGCAGAGGTTACATAATTATAATTCCCTCATGCACTTTTTTAAAGAGAAATTTTTGCATGCATTAGGATGCATCAGCTTGCCAGAGAGAAAGAAAGAAACAGAGACAGAAAGTGAGAAATCACCCCCCAGGGGGGATGGCCATGCTGCAATCCCTTCTCTATTCTCTTGGAATTTTGGGCACACAGGCACAAGTGACCGGCATGAGTTTCAAGCCACTGGGTCTGGAACTCAAACCATGGTCAGCCATGTGGGAGTCCAGTGATGTCACCATTATGCCATCTGCTGGTTCCATTCCTGAGGATTGGTCAGGCTCACTTCCCTGGGTTGAAGACATCATTGACATCCTAGTAATGTCAGTTAGGTTGCTTCCTAGCAGGAAATACCTCAGCATCACCTGGAACCCTCTTAATGATGAAAAATGATTTGTGACAGAAACATTTCAGATCTAAAGACCTGAATTTAACATGTATTCCAAAACTGCTTCTTTAGTTTTGCTCTAGGGCATGTGCACTTGACAGAAAGAGAGAGAGAAAGCACCCGTCTGGGGGCATGCCCACACTGCTATCGCTTCTCCTCCATTTTCTCAGGATTTTGGGCACGCATGCACACATATATGCCCAGAGTGTTTTCCAAGCCACCAGGTCCAGGACTCAAACTGCTCAGTCAGCAATGTGAGATCCAGCCACCTCAACCTCCACGTCATCTGCTGGCCTCTAAACTGTTTTTATCTATAGAGAAGACTTTTAGATTTCAAGTTTTCAGGTATCCTTAGAGGAAATGAATCATTTACTCCCTTTCATTTACTCCCTCCTCAACTTCTGCATTTCTAAAATGGGGGTCAAATATGTGCCTAGTCCGGGGACCACAGTTCTGAGCGAGCCAGAGCTGGGGTGTGTCCATCAGGAGGGCCCAGTCTCTTACTGTGATATTTGTGCAATGATTTTTTCCCCCACAGCGCTTGAGTTTTATTGCAATGATTGTTTAAGCCAACTGATCACTTGTTAGTTGCTACGATGAACTTAAGAGGAAAGAAGCAGAGAAAGACCCTCTGAGAGTCAGTCAGGGCAGCCTGGTGTTCTGGTGGGGCTTGCTAACACCACACACAGGTCTTCCACCCTCCTACAGGATAGGGACTGGCTGTATCCTACAGGAAACTGGCTATGCATCAGGAAGTCTTCAATACTCTGAAAAGACACAGGACTCTACATCAGAAGCTCTGTTTGTAAGGCTGGCTCCCTGCTATCTCATTCAGCTAGGTGTCTTTGAAAGCGTCCCTGAGTGTCTCTGAATCTTGTCTTCTTATTTTGTTAATTGGGTTGTCGGAAAAATCATGATGCATTTTTGCACAGAAAAATAGGTCATGACTTTTCCACCAACTGAAAAATTGAAAATGTTGGGGCCAGCAGGTGACATAATGGTTAAGGTGGTGGACTGTGGTTTGAGTCCCGGGCCCAGTGGCTTGAAAATTTACACTGGGCGCATATGTGTATGTGCCCAAAATCCCAAGAGAAGAATGGAGAAGGGACTGTTGATTGGTCATCCCTCTTCAGAGTGGGGGTGGGGGTGGGGGGTGGGATTTCTCATTTTCTCTCTCTCTCTCTCTCTCTCCAGTGAGCCCATGTACCTTATGGCAGGAATCTTTTAAAAATGTTTTGGTGCTTTTTGTTTTCTTACTAATTAGGTTTGATTATCTCACAGAAATGCTATAAGGAGCATAGTAAGTGGTGCCAATATGCTTCGTGAATCAAAACATGCTACCTAGACACAGTCTGGCTCATATTAAGAGAGTCAGAGAAAGGACAGGAGTTGTTTCCCTCCCTCTCATGGCCTAAAGAGAGGCGGTTAATGGGGAGCAGTTGGGATGATAATGGCTACCCAGTGCTCAGTGATTTGCCAACGAAGCTGCCTGCTGGTTATGGCAGAAGGATCTGATCTCTGGCCAGCTTCCCCACCTCTCCTGTCCTTCTCTTCCTCTTCATCTCACATTTCCAAGGGCTATAAGGAGTTACAGGAACCTTCTAAAAACAAAGACTTCTACAGGCAGACAAGGGTAAGAAGAGCTGCCCAGCTGAGCTGAGCGGGAGCGTTGCCCTCTGCCCCAGCCTCACCCAGCCCGGCCTGGCCCAGCCCAGCCCAGCCCAGCCCAGCCCAGCCGCTGCCAAGCTGGGGAATCTGAGCGAGCATGAGCATTATGCTCTTGGCAGCCTCTCCCTTTGTTGAGGCAACATAAAAGCGGCCCTGAGAGCTGCCAGCGGAGTGACTGCACACGCTGAGGAGATAATCTGCAGATCCTCCTTCCCTTTGGAGACCGCAGCTTGATTTTCCAGGGCCGTCACTCAGATGAAGACTTACAGAGGGCCTGTCAGCAGGGGCGTGCTAGGTGACAACGGGCTGCAGGGAGGGGAATTAAATGAAGATTAGTGGGGCAGAAGAGCCTCACAAAGCGAGTTCTCACAAGGGCGGTGGAGAAAGGACACATGGCTATGAATCTATACCGCCTAGGGGTCGGGACGGCCACTGCCTCAGGACTAGTAAGACAGCCTTCAGGCCTTGGGAGGGCCAGTGCCAGGGAGCTGGGGAGGCTGGCGCAAGTGCCTGGGACTTAGTAAGCACTCGGGCAGTATGGTTTGCTTTTATTGTGAACGTTACCAGCAAGACCAAGGAGGTGTGAACAGGACAAGCCGAGCAGAGCATTTTGTACTAAAACGAGAAGACGGAGCATCTCAGCAGTGAGTCCCGGCTGCCCCGCTCTTGTGAGTCTGAGAGTAGGGCCTCAGTACTCCTCACAAACAACAGAAGCACTCTTTCATTTCTTGAAAACATTATTAATGACGATCAGTGGTGCATAGCCCTGATGGGGCTGTAAGAGGCGACCTCCCTTCCCTCTGTTTTCCAACAGATCGAGTTCTGCTCTATCCCGGCCAGATCACCAGGTAGTCTCAGAGGAAACACTGAATTTGGAAACTGGAAAATTCCCTCCCTGTGCTCACTTTATAAATACCATGACG